GGGGGGGGGGGGGGGGGGGGGAGCAGGGGTTCAGACAGATGTTGACACCTCTGGCTGTCCACGGACATGGCCGTTTCTCCACAGGGCGCGTGCTTACTGGTTCATCTTGGTCAGGTTGGTCTGCAGACCCACGTCTTTGGCCCAGGCGGCCACCTTCCTGCGTACGGTGGAGGACTTGGCCCCCACGGATTTCATCTTCTCCTGCATCTTCTCCCACACACGTGGGACGCCCATGAAGGCCGTGGGGCGCACTTCCTTCAAGGTGTTCACCAGCGAGCCCTGAGGGGAACACATCAAAAGGTTGTTTTTTTAGCACACCATCACGCGGGTTGAACTCTCTGCTCCTTCTACCAGCATCTGCAGCTGACAGCGCGGAAACTTTACCGGAGCACAAAGACGCCTTTGCAGCTTGTGTAACTCGGTCACATGTCTCCATTTGAATGTTTCCGGAGGGCTTCTGTCGGTGTGCCGCCTTTAACTACATCACACGCCTTAAACCGCGCAAATGAGCCCGTTTTTGTCGCGATTTAATGGCAGAGATATTAACAGAGAAACGGCCGCGGGCAGAAAAACAACTCCTCCGCGCACCAAACAGATGAGGGGATGGTGAGGATTGAAGGCTCTGAGGGGAGTTTTTGAAAACATCTTGCCATTTTGGAAAGTAACATTGAGCAGAGTAAAAATGGACATTTATCCTCTGCTGCACATATTGAAGATAATGCTTCCTCTCAAAGCCAGAGACACATTCTTTGCCCTACTCGGTAGAATTAGTTATTTTTTCTGACATGTCTGTTCATCTCTAAATCAGATCTTTAGCTCAGTGCTCATTTTTGAGGGGCTCTTCGCAGCTGCCGGCGTTCACCTTGAGGGCGTCTGGCTGGGCGAAGTGGGTGGCTCCTCCGACCCGCATGGTGACCCAGATGTCCATCATCTGGGCAGCGATGTGGCTGAGCGGCAGGTAGCTGACCACCACCTCCCGGGCCTCCGTCAGGTGCACGTGTATGCCGGTGGAGAGCGCCGTCCACGTTATCTGTGCAGAGAGACCACGCTTTTGTAAACAAGATTTCGTATCTTTTTAGATGAACTTCAGAGGGAATAAAGTGCACTTAAACGGGAGGACAGAAGTATTCTTTCCAAACAGGAGGCTGAAGCTTTGGTTTAAAGTTAAAAGCACAACATAATGAAACCATGAAAACTTCCCAAACCTGCTGGCTTAATGAGACACTGAATTCACATTAAAAAAAAGAACACTCAGAACGCGAACAACTCTAAGACATCAGATATGTTTATCATGTTTACTTTAAGCGAGGCACACTTTTTTATCTCCAGTATATAATAACAATCCAAACACAGACGCCGCTGCTGCTCAAATCAGAGATTTAACCGGATTACAACCTGTTAAACATCCCCAAGGAGAACTGTGAGGACATAGAGTCTTCTGATTGGCTCGTGGAAACGGTCTGTGTCAAGCAGCGCACACGTGACCCTGGAGGACTCGCAGACACGTGTGGGCCTCCGAACTTACGTTGTCGTGGCTCAGCATGACTCCTTTGGGCTGTCCTGTGGTTCCTGAGGTGTAGATGAGCGTGCAGCATTGATTGGGCTTCTGGCTGGAGATGACTGCGTCCAGAGGCGCGTCGGGCTCGTCCCTCCCGAGCGCCATGAACTCGGCCCACTGTGGCAGGAAGAGAAAAGAAAAAAGAGAAGAAAAATAAAACACTGAGCTGAGTTTTTTTTTTTCATTCACATAATCACTTTTTAGAGCTTCTCGTGTACATCGTGTGCCCTTACAGAGTATAGATTTGGTCTCTTCTCTTTCAGTGCATCTTTGTACTGGATGATGGCTTTCAAGTGAGGAAGCTTGTCTTCAATCTGGGAAAAGACAAAGGAATCAGATCTGATGAGTGTAATGCTGACAACAGTAACAGCGTGGGATCTAAAAAATCTTAAGCAAAATCTAAATGTCCTGTCGGTTTCGGTGTGAGCTTATTTACGTGCAGAGAATGGCTGAAAGTCTGAAGTCAGGTAAAACAGGCTCCAGCTCCGAGTCTATGTCTCACCTGAAGGATTTTCTGCAGCTGTTTGTGGTTCTCCACCACGATGACATTAGCCTTGCTGTTCTCTGCTACGTACTGGCAGGCCTCAGGAGAGTTGGTGGTGTAGATGCCCACGGCGAACCCACTGAAAGAAACGAAGGGACGGTCAGAGTTAGCAGACCCGGTTAAGTCCAGGCCAACAACACCAGAGCTGTCGCCAGCCTCCATTTCAGAGTTTTAGAGGAAATGTATGCTAAAAACAAACTGAGACAAACCAAACTCCATTCAAGAGTAACCAAAGAAATGCACTTTCCAATCCATATGCAACTTTTTTTTTGTCCAAAGCTCCAAAATAAAGCCTAAAAGAATCAGAAACTAATCTTTACATTCAGTAAAGGCAAGCATGAGCATAAAAAAATAAACTTTATGACCTCAGCTATCTGCAAAATATACAAAAAGAAAAGAACATTTGGTTTATACAAAAAAAAAAAAAACTCGGAAGGTGAAAAGTTTATAAAAGCATTGTCCTACAAAAGCTGATGAGTCACCTTAATCGGAGGCCTTTGTTGGAGTTCAAGTTCTTCTGGTTCATATTTAGTTTCGAGAGGAGGGCAAAACCTGCTTCCCTAAGTGGTTTTGTTTCACTAGAGTAACTTGGCTCCACCCCTCCCGTTGACTTAATCAAATACGACCTGCAATTTGGGTCGCTGTGACCGGTCTGACAGGTTCACATTCCTGCAGTGGTGTGTCATGAGCATGGCCGCCTCAGCTCATTTACATGGACACACTCATTTTACAAGTCTTACAGGAGGTGCAGCCAAAAAGTCACGTGTCCTCCATTTAAAATTAGACACAAAATAACAAAAAAAGAAGAAAAAAAAATCCCACAGCAGATGTGTGGTGATGTAAGCGGCTTTGTGGCCCTGACCATCGATGCGACACGCGTTCCCTGTGCTCCGGGGTTTCTGGTTTGTGTTGAATAACACACACGCTGTGGTGTCTGATGATATTTCCTAAAAACTGGAGGGATTTTTCAAGGAAGTGCCTTTAGCTGCTCTGCTCTGACTTGGTTCAGTGTGTTCTTTAAAGTGCGTCTAACTAGGAGTTGGAGAACAAACGAAGCGGGCCCCATCAGACCGGTGAAATAACTCACTCAATCAAAAAAGGTGTCAGCCGGCTTAAGAAGCTACGTGCCAAACTGGATGGCCCCATTGTGCCCTGGGACGCTCGTGTTTCTCAGTGCGTCTCAGTCTCAGTGCGCATCGCTCAGGTATGAAAGAAATGTGAATGTCAACACACGCTCACACACACACACACACACACTCTGATTACCGCGAGCCAACACTGAGGCTGTTGTTGAAGGTGAAACCTTAAAAAAAAAAAAAAAAATCGAACTCACCCTGCCAAAATTGCTCCGATGTCTGCGATGAACCACTCGGCTGAGTTGAAGCCCAGAATCCCGACGCCGTGGTAACGCTGCAAGCCCAGCTGCAGGCAGACAGGCGAGAAGAGACCGTCAGGCTCACCGGAAAAGGAACTGTTTCCAAAACCTTTTCATTGTCTTAGGAATAGCAAAAAGAGTCCCGGTAGAACCTGCTGGACTCGTGGAATTTGGCTGGAATCACCCAGGTTCACGGTGGTCAACCTTTTCTCACATGCTTGTCTTTGATTTAGGGGTGTGGAGTTAAGGCCTGATGCCGGACAAACAACTGGAGCTGCGTGAGTGAGTGCAGACCTAAAGAAAGCGCACGATGCAGTCAAATGGACTGCAGGCCGACCAGGTTTTAAAACCGTGTCGATCCTTTAATAGCCTTTGTTAAGCCCTTAATGCTCATGGTTAAAAACACATTATGCTACAATGTTAAGCCGCAGATAGAAACACATTTCCTCCGCTGACTGAAGTCGAGTTATGACGGCTAAATCCACCCAATCACCTGAAACACGGTTCAGCAGGTCTGCATCCTCGTGTCAGAGTAGAAACGAGTCTCCATGCTAACAAACAAAGACTAACAAAGACCTGTCCTTAGCACCAATAACGGCCAATAACGGTAACAGAAATCTGTTGCGTTAAAGCAGAGAAATCTTTTGCACATTGGACAGAAACTGTCAGTTATGGAGAGCAGACATAAAAAAGTTACAGATTTCCACACCGTATCTTTTAAATCGAGCTTCTAGATGCAATTTCCATAGCTGAGCGACCTATCGTGATTTTATTTTCCAACCTAGGAACCTGCTTGTGTTGAATTGTTCCAGTGCTGTTTGCCAACATCTGGGAAAGTAAACCCCAGTCATTTTTACAGATGTGCTACTGACTGAATTGTGATAGTGTTGCATTGCTGAGTGTCTTTGTCCCCAGAGCTGAAGGCGCCTACCTTTAAGAAGCTCTTGGCGGCGGTGCGGCAGCTCTGGTAGTAATCTTTATAGTTGAGGCTTTTTTGCTGCTCGCCCTCCTTCCAGCTCAAGGCCGTGCAGTCGCCGAAGCGCTCCACAACTGAGGTGAACATCTGGTTCACAGTCAAAGGGGTCTCGGCGGCCACGCCGGAGTCCCCGATCCGGAGCTTCACCTCCGCGTCGCGCTGCGACGTCCACAGACGAGGCTCCGCCGCCGGCACCGACAGGGAGTCTGGACGCTTGGCTTTCACTGAAAGAAGACTCGTATTCAGAGGGACCACCAAAGCTTCCATAGAGGGCCTCAGGGATGAACTGTTTTCTCACATTTACTGCAACAGTTTCCTGTTTGTCTAAGGACGGCGTGAGCTCCACAAATGCATCCTGCATGTGTGGCGCTGGTGGGAAACCCACCGCACACCTTCCAGTGTTTAAAGCTTACAGAAAGGCTAAAGTAACAGAATGAAACTCATTTAAGCCCTGGGCAGGACGTCCTTCCTCAGTCACACAGGATCACAACACTACCCAAACAAAAAAAACTAAGGCATTTCATATGAATCGACAAACAAAACTTTCTTTAAAAAAAGAAAGCCAACATTGTCTGATCACCATTTTAAACAGTCAGGGCTCTAAAGGTGTGTGAGACTCAAACAAAGCCTCCTCACTGTCAAAGAGAGGTAGACAATCAAACTGTCATGCTAACTCTTTAAATGCGTTAGCACTGAAATCACAAGTTAGCACTGCGAGATAAGTCTTATGATCAATGAATTACACTGAAATTATAACTGAGAATTATAACCGCTCAAAGGAAATTGTTTATCCACTATATAGTCTAAGTATATAGCTAAAGTCGCTAAAGTAAAGATTTATTACAAGTTTCCCTAAAGAGAATCATCCGTGTTATGTTTTTAGATTCACCAGAAGCAATTAAAACATCTTGCAAAACATCAAGTTCTACGGGCTAGTTAGTACGGGCTGTACTGAATTTCTCCATTGTTGAGATCAATAAAGTCTTCTTCTTCTTCTTCTACAAAAAACAACCCAAAAGAGTAGTGCCACATTAATAAGCCAGACTAAACCAGAAGTAACCAGCTCTGTACAAGAAAACCCAAACGTTTATCCCCATTTACAGTCTAAAGTCTGTGTTTATCCCTTTTAAATTTACATTGTTAGAATTGTTCCCTTAATGCCTTAACATAAATATAGATTTTCTTTAGATAAAACAGTTTAAGTTACAGTGAGTTATCTCTATTTAAAAGGCATATACTGTTTTTTTACACCATTCAGTAGACTGCAAAAGGCATATGCAAATCAGGGCTGTCATTTTGACTAAAAACAAACCCCCGAGTATTTGAATACTTAACAGAGGAAAAAGCTTTTTCCACAGAAGGGATTTTAAAGAAGAGAGAGCTGGGTATTTAGCCCACTGGCCAGCTGGATGTTTTAGTACTGAAGATGTGTCATTCAGTGTATTTATTACAAACGGTTCAGCTGGTCATCAGTGTGGTTTTGCATGTGGATTTTAGTGCCGCAAGATGAAATTTGAATCCCAGCAAACCTACATTTTTTAATGATTTTAACATGCATGGTGACATAAGATCATTCCCTCAGTGACTGGAACAGGAAAGAAAGTCAAAGTTGAGTTAAAGGGAAAGACAGAGGAAGTAGAGTTTGTTCTGCCAAAGAATGCGGAGTCCATTTCCTGTGGAAAAACCTTTGGTCATAGATGCTGACATCAGCAACAAGCGTGAGCACAGCATAATGACATGTTTATACATTGATTATTATCATTTACATCCAGCTGCTCCACCCAGACCAATGCTTCTTCAGGGAGGGAAAGGGGGGGAAACGTGGAAACTCCAGGCCTCACCATGCTGTGTGTTGGCGCTGTGCTCAGCGGGGACCTCCGTCGCCTTGGTGCTGATGGTGACTGCATCCAGAGTGACAATCGCCTCTTCCTTCTCCCCAGTGGACTCTTCCTCTGAGGACTCACTACGGGACAGGAAGGTGGGGGGAAAAATGGCTGTTCAAGAGTGCCTTTAATCTTTAGCATCCTTTTTTTTTATTTTGGTCACTGAAAGACGACACAAAATGACCACACGGTGCTGCTGTCGAATCCCACGTTTTAGAATCAATACGCAAGAAACGGCCATCCATCAACATCTGTGGCCGGGTGGGTATTTGTCCTGACTCACTTTGCTGTGTCCACGGTGCCGTCATCTAAGGAGGCAGCGCTGTGTTGGGCGCCGCAGGGCGACTCCAGGAAGCCCCCTGCCTGGGAGGGCTCCATCACCACGGCTTCAGACATGGAGGTGGGCTCACACGCCGTCACTGTAAGAGAGGAGCACCACAGAGAGTTGGACTTCCCCTTATTCCCCCCCAAAAAACCCAGCACAAAGAAGTTCCAGTAAAAGTGAAACTAATAATAAAGAGATTACAGTATAACACTGGCATTGGGACCAGTTGTTAATACAAGCATTTGGTTTTGGAAACAGTGGAAAGACGTCTCTGCTTTGACCTTCACATATGACCTGACAAATACATCAATCTTTGAAGCCAATCCGTTCATTGATTACAAAACACAAAGCGCTTTACAGGCAGTAAAATGCATCTAAATATAGAGACACAAAAAAAGAAGGACTCCTTTTCGTGTAATTGCCAAACAGTGAGATGAGCAGCACCTCTGTGTGACGCCAGCTGTGTGTTGTGTGTATTCAGCTCACGTCTCAGTGCTGCTGGCACAGGGTCATGTCTACCCTTTTCATTTATCTTACAATTTAGAACCAAAAGATCTGAAATGTTCTTAAGAAGAAGTAAACATGTTTAGAACTGGTTGACGTGTGGGGCCAGAAACACCAGTGCTGGGCAGAAACCCTGCATCTGACAGGATCTTTGACTTTATGGGTGGTTGTACAAACACTGTCGCTGTATTGCTGATAAAATACATACAGGAAGAGAAAGAAGAGCATATGGCTGAGAGGGGACTCAGGTCACAGTTGGAGATAACGTTGTTCATCTACAAACAATGCTCTACTTTTCATTGCTGCGCTCGGTCAATAAAGGAAGCTTTTAAAATCTCTCAACGGCTCCAGCCTCTAAAAACGCCATGAAAGCCAAGAGGACGAAAGGAAAAATGTGTCCACAAACTGCTTTGTTTTCCAGTGCGATAAGAGGTCATCGCAGTGGAAACTACAGAGGTGCTAGGGGAGCAACATCTACTGGGAATAGGCCAGAGTCAGGCAGAAAAAGGTACAGAGATGAGGGCTCCACAGAGGTCAGAAAGCAGGAGCCACAATATTTTTCTGCATTCCCGGAGAGTTCTACACGCGTTTGCCAAACACGGCTTCCAACGTGATTCCAAAAACAGTTGAAGTGGCCTGACATTCTCAGCCTACAACCCCTCCCGGCGTCACTGGCACCTCGCTCATGTGAGGGCCTGTAGTCCCCTCCCCGAAGGGGCTAAAGACACATTCTAGTCTACGTGATAATACAGGCTTCTGCTGGGACTCGGCTGTGGGGGGATGAGGGTGGAGACAAGCATGTGGGGGATGATCTGGGTCAGACTTTAAAGCCCCCCTCCTTCCCCTTCTTTCTTCAGTCCAGGTCTTTGTTTGGGTCTCTGAAGGCGGGGCAGGGAAAAAATGTAGTCTATCATAATTCAATCTTTAGATGTCATTTTAAGGCTAATTTCACCTTCTCTTCTTTGTTTACCCCTAACTCCTTTAGACACTGTGTGTTTTTTAGATGTTAGCTGATGAGTTAAAGCCTCATGAGTCCATAACATAAACATAGCACACAGAATTTGGATAAAAACACCTCTTATCTCGCCTGCTTCTTGTCAGCTTCTGAAAAGTGTCTTATGACATCAATCCAAGTCATCGTCACACAATCTTGCTTGATAAGATTAAATCTGTTGCTTGCTGAGCTGTTTTTGTGTTGATATCAGCATGGCTGGGTAAGCACACCCAAAGGATTATTTTACAAGTTTTTTTTTATTATTTGTTTTTTGATGGCAGAAAAATATGTCAAAATCACCATGTTTAGATCTTCAGCCGGTGGACAAGGAGGTGTCAGCATGAAAAAGTCAGATAGTCAGTCTGGTCTCTACTCAGAGCACCAGGTGCCAATCATGAATTATCTGCTGGACCCCGGCACAAACTTCCACCATAACAGGAATGCTGCAGTCATGCAGTTGGGGGGGGGGGGGGATTATGACAGTGGAGCATAGCAACAGCTGTTCCATTCAGAAAGGGAAACGCAGCAACAGTTGGGAAGATAACAGTTTGTAAAGCTCTTATGTGTTGCTGAATAACAGAAGATTTAAAGTAGAACTATGACTCTTTTATAGACGCCTGCCCAAAGCAACCCCCCCCCCCCCCCCCCCCCCCCCCC